TGCTAGGGCGCAGCTCGCAGTTAGATCTGAGAAGGAAAATATACAAATTTATATTTCCATTTTAAGACCAATTATGTGTTATGCGTCCCCTGTCTGGGCGACTGCTACGAGCTCAGATATCAACAAATTGCAGGTGACTCAAAACACAATCTTACGCACCATGACAGGAGCGCATTTTTACATCCGTAACAAACTCCTGCACGATGATTTACAAGTTGAATATATTGACAAATATCTGCAAAAACTTAACAGCAAGTTCTTTGACAAAGGCTTGAATTGCAGTAAAGGAAACTTTAATGCTGTACTGAACTATGTCTGCATTCCTGAGGACTACAATATCAGGCCTTTTACGGCTCACAGAATGAGGGATCACAATTTTGTCACTTAGCCCACTCGTTTTTCAAATATGTAAATAACACATTTTTATGCGTACATTACTTCACTTTCATTTGTTTATTACATGTTCAACACTGTATCCTATGCACATTTCATGTATTTTCATTTCTTTTGCATCTTCATAGCTCCATACACGTGATTATTACTCTTTTCTCAGGGGTAAGAGTTAAGTTACTTTGATGATTGGACTTTGTCACTATGGCCGATGGGCCCTCTTTTCCTTACCCGCTCCGATTTCCTGGCTGGGAACTAGCTGATAGTTGACATTCTGATTGTCCTTAGGGGATTAGATCAATATAGCTTATTAAAGCCCAACTGGGCTAATATAAGCATAAGCAATTAGCATTTAAGCATTTAAGCAGCAAAATAAGCAGAATAATAACCCCACTCCTAAAATTAATGAATGCAATAGACCAACAGGCACCCGTGAACGCACGGAAGAGAATCTAAACCAATTTATCATGTTTATGTCGTCTATTTACGAATTTATATGATGATTTTTGCAAAAGCATCTAATACTACCGAAAAAATGATGGTTGCTTTCGAAGCACTAAAGATATACGATTCTATCAATCATGATCAATAACAGCAATAGACTCAATTACTCTAAAATAGCATTTTACAACTGCAATGGTATTATTAGGCAACATCTACAAATAAATCAATTCATCAATAATAAAAACCTGGACTTCATGCTATTAAATGAAACTCACTTAAAGCCAAATAAAAAATTTAAAATAGAAAACTACACTGTTTATAGAAAAGACAGACTACATAATATTGGTGGAGGAACTGCTATAATTGCCAAAAATTCTATAAAACATACTGAATTCCTCCTGCCTGATTTCAATAGCATTGAAGCATGCGCATGCCTTGCCTACAGCAATAATCATACACCCTATCTAATAGTCTCTGTTTACAAACCTCCTATGAAAATACTCAACACTGCTGAAATTGAATATATTTGTAACCTTGGATATCCTACTATCATTGCAGGTGATCTAAATTGTAAGCATCCTGCTTGGAACTCTAAATTCACTAATAGTAATGGTATAAAAAAACAAAAAAAAAAAAAAAAAAATGGATAGACTTTATAATCTCATGCAAAAACTCCACTATCAATATCCTGGCTACCACAGATCCTACCCATATTAGTTCTCATCATAACCATACCCCAGATGTTCTGGACATTCTTATCACCTGCAATATTCCGCAAATTCCTGAACTTATCAACTTAAAAGAGCTTGACTCTGACCACAATCCTATCATGTTCACACTTTATAATTTTATTCACTATATGCCTCCAAACCCCACCAAAGTCAGTTGGGTGGACTTCAAATATATCCTTGATAATAATATTAATGCTACTACCAAAATGACCACCAACAACTTAATAGAAGAAGCCACTGAAAAAACTTAATAAATAAAATTATTGACGCCATCAATAAAGCTACCCTAAATGCAGAGAAACAAGACTACTCACTTCCACATAATATCAAGGAAGAAATCAAAAAACAAAAATTAGGCTCAGAAAAATTTGGCAGAGAACCAGAAATCCTAGTAGAGATAACATCAATTATAAAACGAGCATATTATAGGGTACAAAAGCTCTGTCATGATCATAAAGAAGACAGATGGAATAGCTATGTTGAACATCTTTCTCCATACTGATCACTCTGTATGAAAACTGATATGAAAATTAATAATATCCCACACCCTACTGATGATAATATTGAAGAGCAAGTTAAAAAATTTCATTCATTCCAATAGGAGTAAAGCAAACATACCTACCAGTCCCACTGAAGTTAATCAAATTATGAAATCTCTCAATAGCAAGAAAGCCTGTGGCTATGATAACATTACTAACAATGCAATTAAAAACCTTTCTAAAAAAGCTGTCATATATCTTGTCAACTTATTCAATGCTTGCCTTCGCAATAATTATATTCCACAGACCTGGAAGATTGCCACAATCATTGTCATCAAAAAACCTGGAAAAGAAAATAAATTTACTTCCAGCTATAGACCTATTTCTCTTCTTTTCTCCATTTCAAAAATTTTCGAAAAAATCATACAAAAAAGGTTATATCAGTATGCACAAGATAATAGTATCCTCTCACCATATCAATTTGGCTTTCGTAAAAAATACTCTACCATTCATCAGGTCTCCCGCATTGTGGAAAAGATTGGAGAAGCCTTCAATAAAAAAGAAACTGTTGCTGCTCTATTCCTGGATGTTGAAAAGGCTTTTGATAAAGTCTGGCATACTGGATTAATATACAAATTAATTCACTACAATTTGCCTCCTGAAATCATCAATCTTATTTATAGCTATTTGAGCAATAGGTTTTTTCAAGTTAAAATCAATAATGAATACTCTACTCGCAGAAAAATTATGGCGGGGGTACCTCAAGGAGGAAATTTGGCTCCCTTCCTCTATTTAATATATGTCAATGACTTTCCTAAACATCCTGGTACAGAAATTGCACAATACGCTGATTACACAGCCATATTTTCTATTTCTATCAACTCCAAACATGCTCAGCATAAACTTCAACAAGCTGTAAATAATATGCAAAACTGGCTTCAAAACTGGAAAATTAAAATTAACCCAAGTAAAAGTATCAATATTATCTTTAAAAGAAGCAATAAAAACCCTGTCTGTGATCCTCTGCAAATCAATAATAGTCCTGTCATCAGAGCCAACACTGTTAAGTATCTAGGCATCACTCTTGATGTGAAACTTAATTTCAAAGACCATATCTCGTGTATTTTGTGAAAATACCAGAAAAGCTTACTTAAGCGTTTACTCCATCATTAATCATCATTCTAAACTTAGCCTTCAAACCAAGCGCATTATCTATCTTCAACTAATTAGACCTGTCATGATGTATGGCTCCCCAGTTTGGGCGGCTGCTGCCAAAAGTAATAGAAAACCACTACAAGTTTTACAGAATAAAATTATTAGAATCATTACTGGAGCTCCATGGTTTGTTCGCAATATCGTACTTCACAATGACCTCAAAATTAATACTATAGATGAAGAAATACTCAAAAGTGTTCATAAATTCTATGAAAACCTTTCTACCCATCATTCTGCTATTATACAAAATATTGGAAATTATGATTTTACAATAGACCAACCTTATAAACGACCGCGCACCATTCATCATAATGTTCAGTGGTAGATTTGATTTTTTTAAATTGTATATATTTTATCAACTTTAGCTTTATATTTGGACTCTGACTGAAAGCTATGAAATGTAAAGCATTTTTTTTACATCTATTTACTCAAGAATTTGTACTTTTAATCAAGATTTCCTATTGGTCCAGGAGGACACACCTATATATGCAAGATTTTTATTTACTACTTATCTACTATGCATCAGAATTTGTTTCTTTTATTTATCTCAAGTATTTTACACCTTTTCATTCTACAAAAATGTTACTGCACCTGTATATATACTTTTATTATTTAAAAAATACGCAAATTATGTAATTCTACAGTTCTTCTTGACTCACCAATCAACATCATGGAATAGGCCACGTGACATACAATTTAACTAGATGTTTTTAAACTCAGTTCTAGTTCACTCTCTCGCACCTAGATGGTGCCACCTCTGGTACTTTTCGATATTTCTTACATCAAGTATTTTTACCATTACTCATATACGCCTTTTTGGATATACACTTCACCACTCTTAAAGCCTTAAATGGATAGATAAAATAGATCGAGTAATGCACTTTCATTAGTACGGAACTTGAATGAAATGTTATGACCTGACCTGACCTGGTCTAGCCAAGTCTTTGGTCTAGCCAGTTGGTATGCAAATGTGTAAACAACCTGCCACTTGAAATTGGCGTCAGGCGAAAAGCTGGTGGCAAGGAGCATTGACCAGAAATAAATGATAGACTTTTCTACAACACGGAAAATATCGTAACGACCCTTATTTCCTCTTCTTTAGGCCGTGAATATTTTCCTAGCAACATTGTTGTACATTTAAAATGATTTCATTTCTTTTATATGTAATTTGGAAAAATGAATGAACGAACTAAGCTTTACAAGTGCTAAGGTGAGATATCATAATTAGCCAGAAATAAACTTATTTTTCACGAAGTGTTTGTACCTGAATATCATGCCATGTGCATATCGCACTAAATATATCTTGTTATCTGTTAGTGTTATATCATATATGCAAATTAGTGTTTGAAATCATATATGCATTCGCCAACTACTTTCCTGACATTGTAATATCTCCCCAGAATGCCAATGAATTATTCATAAATTCTTGATTATATTTCCAAAGAGACCTTGTTAGTTTTTCGAATATATTTCAGTACAAACGTGTATTGGAAATTGTCATGCGGAGAAAGAAACTTCGTAAAGCAGCTCATGCCTACCCACCCAACAGAAAAACCTTATATGTGAGGTAGATATTTTACGCCGAAGCCTCAATAAAACCTGCATTTCCTTCTTAATGCAGGATAAGATCTAATCATAATGTTCGGTATGTAATAAATCATTTGCCGATAACTCTAGTTTCAAAATTCATGTGCTTATTTACACAAAAGAGAAACCTCACATATGCAGTGTGTGTGTGTAACAACTCATTTAGACTAAAGAGTTATTTTAACAAACATATGTGTATTGACATAGAAAAGAAACCTTGTGCATGAGGTATATAGCAACTCATTTAGACAGTATGTTTCTTTAACAAGCATCTGCATATGCATACAGGAAAAAAAAGTGCATGTGTAAGGTATGAGAATTCATTTAGATGAAAGAGGACCTTAAACATGAATATCCTTATTCAAGCAGGAAAGAAACCTTATGTGTGTGATATATGTAATAAGTTATTTACTCTAAAAGGTAACTTAAACAACCATATGCTTCTTCACACAGGAGAGAAACCTTATGTGTGTGATGTTTGTAATAAGTCTTTTGCTTACAAACTAAGTTTAAAGAAACATATGCTTAGTCACACAGGAGAGAAACCTTATGTGTGTGAGGTATGTAACAAGCCATTTACTCAAAAAGGTCATTTAAATGAACATTTACTTATTCACACAGGAAAGAAACCTTATGTGTGTGAGGTATGTAACAAGTCATTTGCTCATAAAGGTCATTTAAACAAACATATACATATTCACACGGGAAAGAAGCCTTATGTGTGTGATGTATGTAATAAGTCATTTGCTTACAAACCTAGTTTAAACAACCATATACGTATTAACACAGGAGAGAAACGTCATGTGTGTGTCTTGTGTAACAAGTCATTTACCCACAAAGGTCATTTAAACGAGCATATACTTATTCACACAGGAAAGAAACCTCATGTGTGTGAGGTATGTAATAAGTCATTTACTCTAAAAAGTCATTTAACGAACCATGTGCTTCTTCACACAGGAGAGAAATCTCATGTGTGCGAGATATGTAATAAGTCATTTGCTTACAAACTTAGTTTAAACAACCATATACTTATTCACACAGGAGAAAAACCTCATGTGTGTGAGGTATGCAACAAATCATTTACTCAAAGAGGTCATTTAAATGAACATATACGTATTCACACAGGAAAGAAACCTCATGTGTGTGATGTATGTAATAAGGCCTTTACTCACAATTGTAGTTTAAAGAACCATATACTTACTCACACAGGAGAGAAACCTTATGTGTGTGATGTATGTAATAAGTCATTTGCTTACATGCGCAGTTTAAAGGACCATATACTTATTCACACAGGAGAGAAACCTCATGTGTGTAAGGTTTGTAAGAAGTCATTTACTCAAAAAGTTCATTTAAATGAACATATACTTATTCACACAGGAAAGAAACCTCATGTGTGTGAGTTATGTAATAAGTCATTTACTCTAAAAGTTAATTTAAACCGTCATATTGTTATTCACACAGGAGAAAAACCTTATGTTTGTGAGATATGTAATAAGTCATTTGCTTACAAACTTAGTTTAAAGAAACATATACTTATTCACACAGGAGAGAAACCTCATGTGTGTGAGGTATGTAACAAGTCATTTACTCAAAAAGGTCATTTAAAGGAACATATACTTATTCACACAGGAAAGAAACCTCATGTGTGTGGCATATGTAATAAGTCATTTTTTCACAAACATAATTTAAAGAACCATATAGTTATTCACACAGGAGAGAAATATGTGTGTGATGTATGTAATAAGTCATTTGCTTGCAAACGTAGTTTTAAACAACCATATACTTATTCACACTGGAGAGAAAACCTCCTATGTGATGTATGTATGTAATATTTTCTTATAAATGTAGTTTAAACTACCATATACATATTCACACATGACAATTGTTATGTTTCTGAGGTCTATAAGAAGTCATTTACTCAAAAATCTAATTTAAAAAAGCATATACTTATTCACACCAGAGAAAAACGTCATAAGTTACATGTGTAACAAATCACTTGGATGATAGAAAAATGAATGAATCTCATGTCTACACTAACCTAATAAGAAGACTAATGTTTTTTTTTTTTTTTTTTTTTTTTTTTTTTTTTGTGGTTTTCCACAAAGATAACTTTTGTTAGATGGATACGAACCTTTGCTTATATGTGCTAAGGACTTGTCTATGCTATGAAGAAATGTCTTTGTATGGGGTGTGTTTAATTTGTCATTTCACCCCAGTTCTTAATAAATCATTTAATTGTTTCCAGAAGAGAAAAACCTGATGTTTGCGAGATATAAATCACAAGTCGTTTTAAAGTGCTTCTGATTTAAAGGAACATTTTCTTATCCTTAATATTTAATTAGTAATGAGAGTTTTAAAACAACATATTCAAACAATGAAAAGTTAAACACTGATTATAGTGTTTTGAATAAGGAAATTTTATTGATGTCGCATTCCTCTCATTCTGGTAATGTCATAAATTGTTTGAAAGCTTGAACATTTTTTTTCAATTGAATCTAAAATTCAACCATTCAATTAAAATTGAATATGCATTCACATTTTGCACTGTAATCCACTTTTCATTACATTTTTCTAAAATAGTACAAAGTATGAAATATAGTCTTTTGTGGTATCTCTAGTGCTGTAGGTTTTAAGTATTTTTTTCATCGTCATTAGCTTTGGGAACTCCCTTTTTAATGTTGAGATTTCTTAGAATTTAGATTTTTGCAAGCTTATGTGTTTGGTATCATTCGTTTTAAAACATTAATTTTGGTCTATGTTCTTGATGCCACTATGCAGCTTGTAGTGTCTTTGAATAAAATCAAAATTTTTTGATAAAGTTTTTTTTTTTTTTTTTTTCGGGCGGGAGGGGTACATATGTGTTAATGCAGCCTCCTTAATACAAATTGTAATATTTTCAATATATGCCAAAATCTGGCAACAATTTGCATAACCATTCTTCGAGCAAACATGCTTATTATAATCCTTCAATGAATCACTTCTGCCATTTTGTGTGTGTTCTTTTTTGTTGTATTCCAAAGTTCAGCAATTTTTATAAAAAAAACATGATGTTTTTGAACTTTAAGCTTAGTTTTAAAATATTGGCCTTGCAGAATTTGTGACCAGTTTTACCACAATTTTGGGATAAAAATTTCTGCAAGAAATAAAGAATGTTGATAAATGCAACAATGAGGAAATGCTTTTCCTTGATAGCCGAGTGCTGAATGAACTCATATCTATAATTTTTTTAATGCAAAAACAGATTGTATACTTGAGGATGAGAAAAGTGCAAAATAATAACATACATATTTGAAGAAGAATGTGATATATTTTTTTTAATTCATCATGCAATCCTTATTTTGTAATTCAAATTTGTTTTTCCAAGTACATTTTCTTTTGATCTATTAATAATTTTTACCAAATTTTAATAAATATCAATAGTTTGGGAATCTCTGAAATAAAGGTGAAAAAAACCACCAACTTGCACCTGATAAGTAACTTTTGACTTTTCATCTGTAAAAAATCAAAAAATTGTGTTATTTCTTTCATATACATATATACATACCTCTTTTTTTTGCTCCTGGGTCCGTGAAAATGTTTCAGACACATTTATACTTATATGTGCCTGTTTATTGTCTATTACAGTACACAGTTTGAAATCCAGACATCCATTATCCGGAATGATCCAAAATCTGGACTTCAAAACCACCAACCACGTTTTCTCATAGGCTTTATGCATGCGCATTTCATCCTCCCTTCGCGCATAGTAAAACATCTGCAGTCCCGATTCTTAATTTCACTTCGACAATACATAAAATACCTTGTTATTGAAAAATCAGTCATTTTAGCATGAATTTGTATGATCAGTAACTTGGCTCTGTTGCTGAGTATCTGCTTGGCACACATCTCAAACTGAAACATTCCACATACATCGTTGATCTGACGCCAACCCGGCGAATCATTATTTGTTATACTTTCCTTTTATCACCGCATGTTTATCAAAACATGACAACTTGAGTAATGTAGCAATGCCTAAAAATTTTTTTTATGTTAGTAACTGAATAATAAAGGAGTATGTTAACCTTTATGTTGACATCATGCTTGGCGATGATTACAGATTTAAGTTAAATGTGCTAAAAAATGTTGATGAAGAAACATTTAACAAAAATTTTCTTTCCATATGATAAAAATAGATCTCGTGGATGATACTCATAAGCCCAAAGATTACATTTAGAGCTATTTGAATAAGGAATAACTGATTTCTTATTAACGTACCAGCACCAGAGCTTGTATGGCTATACCTAGTCGCAGAACTTATGACCCACAGAGGTGGTAAGGTGATAAGTAAAAACGAAGGGCAAATAATTCCATACATGTAACTTCCATGTTGATATTACTCTTGAAGTATGTTGTGGCAGAAAAGATAAATGCTTTGTACTCTGGTAATACCGTAATGTACCTCAAATCATACCAAATGCCTTATGAATAAATGTTGTGATTTGCATTTCGAAAAACTTAACATATCTAATGATCTAAATTTCCAATGAATTAATTACATGATACTGTAGAGAGGTTTGATTTGTATTCTGCCCCCTTCCCCGAATTTAATTGTGAGGGCTCAGTGCCCATGTAATAGAAAGAATTAACTATATTTTTCTCTAATCCCAATAGTTTGAGAGCTGAAGCCCTAGCCCTAGTTTTTAGTCCAAAGGGATTTGAATCGCGAAGGACTATTAGTTTCGTTTTGGCATTTTGCGTCGGACTCATAAATGTCGGTTCACTTTTCAAACTGTTGCCACAAAATGTTAGAGTCCTGCATTATATTTGAAGAAATTAAATAGTGAAAAATCTGCATAAATGTATTGTGATAATTATACTATTTCTCGTATTGTGATAAAACAACGGTACATAGAGTCATCGAATTTTGAATAACGTAATCCTCCAACGAATATGAGCATGTGGAAGACCAAATTTGAAATTTGAAAATTTTTTTATGATCGATTTCCTATTTTTTAAAACTTTGACGAATTTTTATTAACAAACTCAAGGATTTCAAAGCGAGCAATGGCAACGTGTGTGCAGAAAAAACATTTTTATCTCCAGCGCGTGAGTCTCTGTATCGGAAATTCTAAGATAAAGATATGCTCATTTTAAAACTATTTTGCGATATTGCTGTTGCACTGGATCTTATGGTTTAAGTGCGTGGTTTAAGTGCGAGGAACATGATATTTAATAAAGAAAGGTAACACAAAAATGTTAAAAAAACGCCCCTTTGGACGTAATTTAAAATCTGAAACATTTCAGATTTTTTTTTTTTTTTTTTTTTTTTTTTTAAACTTTTCCATGTTTGTTACCATTACCATACAGAAACTGTATAGGTTAAGAGTCAAGAAAAATTCCTAGTTCTATATATTTCAAATTAGCACATTATTTTTACATTATTGTAAAAATACTGAACTGAGAAAAAATTGAAAAAACCTGAAGGAAAAAGCTTTATTTAT